TTCAACAACATTTAACAGCAATCAAGGTTTCTCTTAAGCATTTCAGATTTAAATGGACTGGAGGTCAATGGTTGGTTGATGGAAGAGAAAAAGTAAAGCAAGTAAAAAGTTTCAAGCTCAAAATTATGACTTTACTTGTGTGCTTCTCTGCAGTGGGGACTGGGGGTCTCACTGTTAGGCAAGAATAATCAAATATTTTCGACTATTTACGCATGTGCTCCCCACCTGATATATCTTAATTTTTGTCTCTTTTTTTTCTTCTCTTTTTTTTTTTTTTTTTTTTTTCTAGAAGCCTTAATGATAAAACATGATACACCAAGTTATTTTTAGCCATTAAATCAAATTTCAAGGACTCGCAATGGCGGAACTAGGAGATTTCTTGTGTAGAAACGTGAGCTAAATCTAAATTTTAAACTAAAATAATAATGTAACTATTTCAATTAGGTTAAATTCATTTTTTAAAGTTTAAGGTACACAAAATTAAGAATTTATGCAATAATATGGTTAATTTTTGGTTTATTTAGTATTTTAAATGTTGAAATATAAGTATATTAAAAAAATAAAAATCAAAGTTCGGGGTATTGCTTAAACTTTTGCAAAATTTTTTAATACAAATCGATGCCTCCATTAGTCCCAAGGTGGTTCGGCTATTGAACCTATGATTAGGAGTATTTTTATGGTGTACGTACGATGTACTATTTTTCATGCGCACACTTATAAATCAGACTCTTAGAACTTAATGGAGTAGTTAGAAAAACTTACTTTTTTTTTTTTTGAAACAACTTGAATTTTTTTTTATTTTTTATACAACTCAAATTCTTTTACTACGATATTTTCTTTCACAAAAATTTAAATTATATTTTTCTGTTACCGTGTTTTCTCTCACATAAAAAAATTTGAGTTATGACTTTTAAATGTGAAAAAAAAAAAACACACCCAGTTAACAATAGAGGAACAAAAAATTGACGTGTTGTACCATAAAAAATATATAAAATCATGAAATCAAGTGACGCCAAAATATGTTTTAACTTCGTCAGCCATCAATTATTCGTTTTTTAACACTTTTACTTTGCTCTTTTTCCCAACCAACCGGTTAAACCGCTGGCAATTGCTTGTCGTTCGAGAATGTGAAACGTAAATACTCAGAAAAATGTAAGAAGAAACTCAAAAGTGTGATAATTTATCTTCATACCTTTGTTTTGTTCTTAATTTATTCTTCTACGAAGACCATGAAATATGTATGAAGATTCTTATCTCGGTTAAAGAGATCACCACATAGTTTTCTTTTGATTGGAGAGCCAATAATAATAGGGAAATTAGGTGTTAGTGGAAAATTATAGGAGCGTAATAAATTTTCTTAGAAAAACTGGCTGATGATTAAAATAAATATTTGTGTTTGTCACATGAAACTGTTGTGGAATTTAATATTTGTTATCATGATGTCTGAAGTCTAAGGTAATAGGATTAAGTATTTGACTTATCCGTGTTGGAGTGAATTGTTAAGAATATTATATAAATGCTTGGATGCAAATTCATTATTTGCATTCACTTCTTTCTACCTTTTAAATGATATAAAGACACAGAAATATAGAAATAATTATACAGATAAAAAGAAACGGGGACCACAATGCTAACACTGATTCCCATATATTATGTCTTGTTGCTAATGACTGCATTTTTTGACTTTATAACTATTGGACCAGTGACTGGCTTCTTGTTTATGTATGTGGCTTGGCTTGTGACTAAGCTGAGCTGATTCCTACTATTTTTTTTCTTTTTAAGTTTATTTTTGGTTTCTTTTCCCACCAAGATAAAATAATAATAATAATAATAAATTTAATAAGGAAGGAAAATCAAATTATTTTGGTTTTATGAGAAAACCAAGATGAAGGGTCTCAGAAAAAAAAAAAAAAAAAAAAAAAGGAGTGGGTGAAAAGAAGATAGCAACCTTGAGTTATAATATTGGAAAATCATTTGATTAAATGAGGATTCAAGTCAAATTATATGCCTAAACCAATTAACTAATGAAGCAAATTCAACAGAGAATATCAACTACAGTAGCCTATAATAGTGCCCTTAAGAAATGGACATCAATTGGAGAGTCGTTGCAAGCAAGTAAAATAACTGAATTATGGAGTTGTTCAAAACAAATGAAAAAAAAAATGCTCTTGGACTTCCTCTTATTGAATTTTTTATGTGGAAAAAATATGTACAATATTTAAAAGTCAGTTATAACATTAAAACAAATCATTGGTAAGAGAAAATGACACGCAACTTTTGCGTTCTATTTATTTGAATCACTTTCCATTAGGCATAAAGATTTAGGATTATGATAAGAGTTAGGATATTAAGTTTAACATCAATATTAAACATTCTAAACAACTTGCTCAACGTATTTTCGACGATTACGTGTACATGGTATGGAATAATCATCTTTGGAGTTCGAATGGTGGCCAATCTTTGAATAAACACCAATTAGCCTTATTAATTGATTCCATTTATAAATGAAATGTGATTCATGCAAACTATTAAATGGACTTAAAATAAAGGATAAGTAATAGACCTTTTTTTTTTAAAGTAAATATTATTAAAATTTAAGCATGCAGATAAGTCATAAGATAATGTTGTACTAATTTTTGAGCTCAAATGACGGATTTTTAACTTACTTAATAGCTACGTTATGGAAAATTGTTAATAGTCTAAAAGCCTGCAATATGGAAAATTCAGCGTTAATTAACAGAGGTTTCTTTTCCGGCGCAGCCAATTATCGTTAGAAATTCTGAATCAACTGGTATTTTGATCTACACGTACATTTTTTATATTACGTTACAAACAAGAAGTTCAAAAAAAAAAAAAAAAAAAAAAAGCGTTAGAGGACTTTGAAAGTTAGATCACCATTTCATGACGCGTTTTCTGTTGTTCATTTTCTGTAGGCCGTGTTTAGAAAGCACGTTAATTGCTATTATAATTATAATAATATATAATCATAATTATTATTTGCTCTTATTTTTACTCGCCTAAATCCTACTAAGCATATTTGTTGCTGTAAAGGATACGCAAAAACGAAATTAACACTAATCTCCGATAAGATTGCGTTCGTAAGAGAAACAAAACAAGTTAGGTTATATTAATTTATGCCCATAATTTTTCAAATATAAAACATCTTTTTATTTCAGCTTATCTCTTATGAATATTCGAGGATAGAGAAGAGAGAGTATACAAAATAAAATAAAATAAAACTCAGAAAACGACAAATAAATAGATTAAACAAGTTTTTGAACATTAAAACAAGGAACTCTGATTTATAATAGAGTAATAGATAAATAAACATGAGAAATAATACACTTATAAAATCATGGCCCACCATTGTTGTTGAAGAGATTATAATATGTCTCTCACATTCAAAATCACATCATTTTGGAGTGTTAAAACACAAAAGGGAGCAGCCGGGGGAAGTTCAAAGCATTGCAGCGCCAAAAAAGGCACTGCAGCGCACTAACCCCACAATATGTGCGGGTTGTGCTGCCGCAACTGCACTGTGCGCGCTGGTTGCGCGCTGCAGCGCACAGTCTTGCTGCACAGGAGCCCGCTAGCTCTGGTAAACCCATTGCAGCGGGATTTTCATCCACTGCAACACCAGAAACTGCAGGAAACGTGAAAATGTGTAATTCGTGATCTGAAACGTGCCGAATCATTACAATCATTTGTGATATGTTTTCATACATATTTAAATACCTATTAACAATAGACATATCTATTGTAATAGGTGCAAGAATACATGAAGAGATACCTCTACATTCAAATGGTACCTTTATGTGAATGATTGTGATATTTGAAAAGAATGTATTTATTCATGAAATAACACCTCTATCTTTTTATTATCTCCAGAAAATTTACAGACTTAATTCATGTTTTAGAACTCAATATTATTGCTAGATATTGTGTTCAAAAGTTTGTTGTATCTTCGGGGAAATTTGCCATTAAAACTCATTAATAAACTTTGAGAAGTGATGACAAATAAAACTTAAAAAAAAAAAGTATTTTACAATACGCCTCAAACCTAATTTTATTTGCTTTCTTTTCATCCTGTAAACTCAAATTCTCTCTTGGTATATTTATTACTTGGTGATAATGATCATCTAAATTTTGCATACCCATGCAGTAGTACCCACCAGGGGAATCATGATTTATTGTTTCCAAAACTGTTTGAGATTACTGCTGTATCAAGTAGATAGTACTGGATTCTAATTGTTGATACCCACCATGCATGAGAGATCTAACACACATGGCGTTGGGACCCTTTTTGATCTCCAATGCCAAGCTTTCCCTCACCTAATAATTTGCCAGCTCAGTGAGCTATATATATAATAATATGATGAGTTTTAAGCAATTTTGGTACTATAATGTGTAACACCATTTATAATTTGTACCATTTCTATTTATGTTCCATATTTTTGCCCTTCACATGTCATGATTCAGCTTCTAGCTTTCATATATATCACAATCAAGTTCAATCCCAAAGAAAGAAAAGAAATAAAAACGGTAAAAAATAAGAGAATTTAATTAGCTATGGAGAGAGTTAGGGTAGGCACCATTTATAGGCCGCTAGTATACCCTAAAAAAATGGCCCTTAATAACTCATTAAATCTTGTCTGCCCTTACACTGCTTACCTCCAAACTTCAACCAAAAAAAAGAAAAAGAAAATAACCCACTCTTGAGCGAGCCAAGGTGAGCCGACCCACAAAAGCAAAAGGCTTATCATGTGGCTCAAGAGGCTGAAGAAAACAGAAAAATACCGTTGAAGGCGATTAGATTCAACCGCTTAAAGTTAGTTGAGTCTTTCACATTCCACTCAGAATATCTAACAGTCAACTGAAAAATTCACATGTAACCCCTTCCACTTTTTTTTTTTTTTTTTTTTTTTTTTTTTTTTTTTTTTTTGCTATTTCTCCCTCTCAAAGTCTTCATAATGACAGAGGAAAAACAAAGCCCTCTCGGGACTTCATTTTGTTTTATATCCTTTAATCAACCATACTCCATTTCTTCTCTCTCTCTTTCTATCTCTTCTCTAACTTAACCCACTTTTGCCCATAAATAAAACAAACCCCCATTCCATCGACACCTCAGAAACAAAAACAAATCCCACAAACCAAACTTGCCATGGGCGTGGACATGTCTAACACTCCACCCACTTCTCACACCAAAGACTACTTCGCTTCTCCGGCTCTCTCTCTCAGCCTTGTAAGCTTACCAAAACAAAATAAAAATTATATATATATCATCTACTAACCCTTTTGAGTTTCAAAATTACGTGTTTGCTGTTTTCTTTTTTGTTTTTTTTTTGTGTTTAAGGCCGGGATTTTTCGCGATGCTGGGGCAGCGGCGACGGCGGCAAATATGGAGGTGGAGGAAGGGGAGGAAGGGAGCTGCGGCGGGAAGAAAGACGACACGGTGGAGATGAGCAGCGAGAATTCGGGACCGGCGAGATCGAGGTCGGATGATGAGTTTGATGGAGAAGGAGAGCATGATGACGATGGCACTGGCGATGGAGACAAGAACAAGAAAAAGAAAAGGAAGAAGTACCATAGGCACACTGCTGACCAAATTAGAGAAATGGAAGCGTAAATAATATTACCCTCTTTATTATTACCTTTCTTGTTTTGTTTCTCGTTGTTATTATTACTACAATTATAATTATTATTACTGTTTTTTTAGATGAAGATCCTTATAGTTTTATCAATGGCAGCTAAAACTTTACAAAAGTTATTATGCATTGCCAATAGTTGGAGATTAATTAGTACTATTAGGGTGGGGTAAATATAATGGGTTACTTTCGAGTTCAATGAATTCCACAAACATGAGTTCAGTGTTTTAGGTAGATATGATTTTGGACGCACATGGTTTTGCTTTTGCTAATTGGTCGGTTAAAATCGCCTTTAACGTTTGCACAGACCATACTACATCTAATATATATACATATGTATGGCAGCTTTAAAAGTATTTTATACGGTGTACGATGTACTTCTCCCAGAAACAAATTCGGACCTAATAACTTTCCCTTTTGTTTCTTACTTTTGTTGCTTATTATCTTCAAGAAGAATTATGTGTTTAGTTTACATCAATATTTGTCAGCAATGTGTCGGTGACTGTTGGATGAAGTTTGGCCTCTAGCTGGTAATATGGTTGTAGCGCACAATCTATAAGCTAAAATCCCATTTTACACTTGCAGGCTCTTCAAGGAATCACCTCATCCGGATGAGAAGCAAAGACAGCAACTAAGCAAGCAATTGGGCCTCGCACCAAGACAGGTCAAGTTTTGGTTCCAAAATCGTCGAACCCAAATCAAGGTATTGTCAATGTCCACGAATCAAAAAATTAAAATTAAAATAGGAATAATAAATTTACGGTAGAAACTGTAAGGGTTGGTTTAATTTTCTCACCGTCTAATTTGTGATTTAAAATAGTTTTACATCGCGCGCTATAAATTTTCGATTTGGACACTCAAAAATCAAACATGGAAAATTTAATCCAATAACTAAAGCAAATGAATATATGCGCATTTTCTTTTGTTATTATTATTTTATATCGTTTTTGGACTTTTTTTTTTTGTTTTTTTGTAATGACTATTGTCTTGTAATGGAGAATGGGTCGGTTTTTGTACAGGCTATACAAGAGCGCCACGAGAACTCTTTGTTGAAATCAGAAATAGACAAACTGAGAGATGAGAACAAGTCCTTGAGGGAGCAAATTAACAAATCTTGCTGCCCCAATTGTGGCACGTCCACAGTTAGCAGAGACGCCACCATGACAACGGAGGAACAACAACTGCGAATTGAAAATGCCAAACTCAAAGCTGAGGTACGTAGCTAGTCATTTTAATAATTGGAACCACTGGGACCCATAAATATCTTATATAAGATTTTATTATTATTTTTAAATTAATTTATAACATATTTTTACGTACGTCCTAATTTTAGACCTACACATTATTATTTCTAAGCAAATTGAAGATCATTTCTACTGACATTTTTTTTTCCAATTAATATTTATAAAAGTTATATTTCATAACTACGGACAAAAATAAATAAAAATTATTTGAATACCTAGATGTTTGACGGTTATATATTACTGTTTTAGTTAACTGTCTTGATTTAATGTTTATTTGATTAACTCAATGTTAAATTTGGTGATCATAAATTATTACACGAACAACTTTGCATAGAAATAATAATTTGTTGAAAAGCTAGTGAATATTACAAGCTAGGGAGGTCATTAAACATTTTTCGTTTCAATTTGGAAGAAAGCTAAACAATTTCATTCGTAGGGAAAGACAAAGAAAATTGCTTTAAAATGGTTAGATATATAGTATATAAATATACACTTCATCTTATTTCAGTTGGACAGTTAATTGACTCCATTTCATGCATGTTATATTTTCGAAGGTTGAGAAGCTCCGAGCAGCTATAAGAAAACACCCTCTGGGAGCGACATCTCCATCGTGCTCCGCCGGAAACGACCAAGAAAACAGAAGCTCTTTGGACTTTTACACCGGGATATTCGGGCTCGAGAAGTCGAGGATCATGGAGATTGTGAACCAGTCAATAGACGAGCTCGTGAAGATGGCCACAGCCAGAGAACCGCTTTGGGTTCGGAGCGTCGAAACCGGCCGCGAAATACTTAACTACGACGAGTACGTGAAGGAGTTCAACGTTGAGAACCCCAGCAATATCAAAGGGCCGAAGAGATCCATCGAGGCCTCCCGAGAGGTCGGCGTCGTCTTCGCTGATCTTCCTCGTTTGGTGCAAAGCTTCATGGATGTGGTAACTAAACTCGGAGAAAAAGATAAAAATTAAAAAATAAAAAAGCTAGCGTTTTGATATTTTCTGCATGAAACTGAGAAACGTATATATTCATTTCATATATATAATAGCGTCCATATTACAAAAGTCGTGAACTGAAAGGACTCTTTTTGTATTGTTTTTGGATGTTTTCTCTCTGATAGAATCAATGGAAGGAAATGTTTCCGTGCATGATATCGAAGGCTGCCATGGTCGACGTTATTTGCAGCGGCGAAGGAGACAATAAGAATGGTGCCGTACAATTGGTACGTCAAATTTTAAAAACTAAAGAACTTTATAGTTGATACTAAATAGTTTAAGGTGACAATATATTACTCTTACTATTATTATTATTATAATTATTATTGCGTCGTCGTCGTTTCACTTTCGTTTAAATTGAACACTGATAATCTTGTGGTTGCAGATGTTTGCGGAGCTGCAAATGCTCACGCCAACGGTGCCAACTAGAGAGGTGTATTTTGTCCGATTTTGCAAGCAATTGAACGCGGAGCAGTGGGCCATCGTTGATGTTTCCATCGACGAAGTCGAAGAAAACATCGATGCGTCATTGGTTAAATGCAGAAAACGTCCCTCTGGTTGCATCATTGAGGACAAATCCAATGGCCATTGCAAGGTATCTTATTCGCCTCTCATCAATTTAAATTTTAATATATCTCAATACATTAGTAATTTTTCCTACAAGGCAGAAATCATATACTAACAAGATTGAGTTCTTCATTATTGAAAGTGTTAGGTGATTATTAGGGTCTTTAATCCTTCACATTAATTGGACAATGCTCCAATTTTGAACTGTCGGAATATTTAGTTTTGATCCTGTTGATTATGGTCAGAAAATGCAAAAACAACTCCAAAAATGAAAAAAAAAAAAAAAAAAAAAAAAGGAAAAAAGGGGGGAAACTGATCGAGTC